TACAAAGGCGGGACTGGGCAAGGAGTTGGCTGCACTTCAGGGCAGCACCCACTTAACTGCATGCAGAGAGAGAAAGGGCAGGGCTGGGAGTCAGTCACCAGCAGACACTTTTAGCACATGAGGCATTCCTTTCCCGAGGGAGTCTGAGGGCAGCAATCTCATGATAAACTCGAGATTTTCCAGAATGAGAGATACTATGTCTCAAGGACTTTTTTAAAAAAATGTGTACAAGTTAGAAATCCTCTGTGGCAAAGCTGCTTCTCAAGTGTGCTACTCTATTCTGTCACATGACACTGGGATTTAAGAGTTGCATAATCGCACATGCTGCCCTCTCAAGTGTTTGATGCCATCACAGCTAGGGAGGGCTCAGAAAATTACAAGTGGATAGAGCCATAGGGGGCTTCTGAGCCATCTGGACCCAACTGAGTGTACTTTATTGAGAGGAACTGAGATGCAAACAGGGAAAGACACAGGCCTGAGTAGAGTAGAGCAGATAGCTGTCTGTCTCCACCTCCTTCCAGAAAGAAAGGGATCATTGCATGTGCTGCTTCCGGAACTGCAAAGCCAGAGCACATCGGTGGCCTTTCCTCCAAACTCCCATGATGCCTTAGGTATAGCAGGTAGGCAGAATAGATTATATCCTAGGAACAGATGGATCTCAGAGAGGGGATTACTTCCTCTGGCTAGGGCATGAACTCTAAGACCATGTTTGGGGCTCTGCCACGGCCTACTTGTAAGCTGCTGGACAAGTTACCTTGCCTCTCAGAAGCTGGGATGTCAAGATCACCCGCCTCCCAGGACCATGGTGAAGTGAAGCAAGCTATGTCTTCCAAGTACTTAGAACAGCCTGTGCATGTAGTAAGTGCCACACCAGCACCAGGGCACAAAAATAAATGCAGGAGTGTAGAGTCCGCCAAGGGGCACTGAGGTCTCGGGTTCTACTCTGGCTCTGTCTGGACATCTGCCCTGGGGGCAGGTTTCTTTCCCTCTCTGGACTCTGATCCTGGTCTGGAATAGGGGGATTGGACACCTGTTGGGCTCCCCTCCTCTGAGCCTGCATACCTTCAGCCTCTCCAGAGTCCTGATTACAGAGCTGGGCTCAGGGCCCAGTGAAACTGGAGCTGGAATGTTCTGTTCTGGGATGGGGAGCCCTACTTGCCTTTCAAAAACTCTACTGCCTTGTAAATCAGGCAAGGGAGCCCATCTCAATGAAGGGGTCAATTGTGTGGCTGGGACACTAACCTTACCACTCTATTATCTCCCCCCTCTTCTTTGGTTTCTCTTTTCTTCTCCCTGAACTGAAAAAGAGAAAGGAGCCTTTGAATCGGGTGTTACTTTTGAAAGCACAGACCTTGAGAATGGTGGGTCTCAGGTGGCAGGAACCTGTCCCAGGGTCTATGCTTCTCTCCAGGATGCTTGCAATCTGACTCCTGGTACCCTGTTCTGTGATCAGGTAAGCTGTACTGTTCCTACATGAACCCCTTGTGTCTTCTCCCTCCTGTGGGCACCCACAGAGTGGCCTCTTCTCAGCCACCTTTGAGGTAGAACAGGCTGAATGATACAGAGGTCCCTGGGGACTTCTGAGGCCACACAGCCTGCCATTTGAGTAGGGGACTCTCTGTGAGTTCTTTGTTGGTTTAGGGGTGAAGCAGGAACCCAGACAGTGCCTCAGCACAGTCCCAGGAAACTAAAATCTTGGTTCTGAGAGGCTCCACCCTCCTGGGGCTGACACTGGATTCTGACCCCTGTCATCACCTGCCCTATTTGCAGCCGCTGCCTCATCTGACCTCACGCCCACACTGCAGCTTAGGGTAATACCAAATGAGCAGAGAGCCAGACACAGCAGGCATGCAGGTGCCTGGGCTGGGGTGGATGCTCACACTTCTTCAGGGGAACGGAACAGAATCGACACTCTAGAGGATGGGCCTGTGGAGAGGGGCAGCCTCCTTCCTCACCTTCCGGAAAAGCACCTGCCAGTGAGAGCCCCCGGGATGTACTATTCTTACATGAACCCCTTTCACCTCCTTCTGGCAGGCATCTCCACGGTTAGCTCCCAAACCACTAAGCCACATGGAATCACCTCTGAGAGACTCCTCAGGTCACCAAGAGAGGTCCCAACTGCCTTGCCATCTCAGCATCATTACACACCCCCTTCCCTTTTCTATTCTCATCCAAGTTTCCATAGAAATCACACTGAGACTCCTCCCCCCACCACCTCCAGCACACCCCGACACAGGGAACCACACTCAACTGGGCGTGGTTCCAACCTCAACTGGTCTGTGGAACCTCCCACCAGGAGGAAGTAACAGCCCCTCTAGGCTCCATCTGTTCCTAGGATGTAATCTATTCTCTCTCCTGGCATACCTTGAGCTAAGGTATCCAAAGGCAGTGTCTATGCCAGGCTCCAGTGATGGTACCTAGCATTAAGTTAACTCTGGGTAGTCATGTGGCTTGTCTTCTCACCCTTAAAAGTGACTCCCTCTTGTAATCCTACAGAACAGTAATCTAGAACAGTTAGAACTGAAAAGTCCAATCTTTCTTTTGCTCTGAATGGAGGAGGCAGGGGAAGGAGGGACCTAAGACCCTCTACGAAGACCTCTTGTCAATTAAATTGAGCATCCCCACCAAGGAGCCACCTCACACCTGAGACAGTTGTGATCAGCAAGATGAGGACATACTTAGATGGACGACATTCTGTGGGGCAGGGACCCACCCTTAAGGAAACAACTGACTTGATAATTTTATGGGTGATACACTGAGGCCTAGAGAAGGACAAACGACAGCCAGCCCAAGACCACATGTGTATCAAAGAGAGGGCTGGGGTGGCCTTGCTCACTGTACCTCAGGAGAGATGGCCTGTGGGTTAGCGAAGCGCTACTTAAGTGTTGTTTTCCTTATGGGCCACTGTTAGGTCAGAGTTGAATGATGCCTGGTTTTACGACGGGCATAAAGGTTCCATCTTTAATTTATTTAATAAATTAAATTATTTAATTCATTTAATACCATTCTGCCTTCACTTGTGCTGGGTACCTGCCATGGAGTTACAGGTTAGAGACCTGTCCAGGAGGCTGATGGGAATGTCTCCCTTAACCCTGCTCATGACTCCAGTGGGGCTTGCTAAACAAGACATCACTACTGAAGGAACAACTTCAAAATGCCAACGGCAAAGTGAAACTTAAAACACATGAAAGGGTCCTCCAGGTTCTCTATTGCTCTGACAATTCATTCCAACCTGGTCTCCACTGTCCAGAAGCAGCAGGCTATGCCAGCACAGCACAGTGGCCCTCAGAAGACTGTCTGTCACAGCACTAGCTCAGAGGCAGGACCTTGCAGGGCTAGGGCTAGGCTCTCTAGAGATCTGCCCATGCTCTGAACCAGGGACCTCATGTGGTACTATCTCCCTCAGAACCAAGATCCACAGGTCCAGGACTCGAGGTTGGGCACTGGAGTGGTAGCACACAACATCACCCTTAGTGAGGCATGAATTAGCAATAGTTTTGCTTGCATACCCTTGACCTTCTGCTCTGCTTGCCTAGAAGTCTCAGTTCCAAAGGAACAAAGGCTTCTGTCACAGGAGGGACAATGACTCCACTGAACAGTAGGTTAACACACTGCTACCTCGCCCCAGGTGTTCCTCTTGCTTCAGAATCAATAGGTGACTGAAGCTGACTACCAATTACTCTGTAATCAGGTACGGAGGATGGGAAATTCTTGGGGTAACTCCTGGAGCTGCTGTGCTGAAAGCTGGTGGGAAACCTGAGAAGAACTGTTAACAACATAGAGCAGGAAGCCCATCAGGTCAAGAACCACAGCTGGCAGAGGTGCTTGCTGAGGGTCGAGGCAGTGCAGATTGGTTAATGGAAGGAGGTGGTTACAAATACTGGTTATCTCCATCTGTCTGGTTAGAGAAACCAGGGCTATAGCTGTCATGAGTATCTCCTCCTGCTTTCTGACCATGTAAGTGGACAGCAGAGATCATTGCCCTGCCCCAGGTCTTATCACACAGCATAAGCTGTACTGACATTTGGTGGTCCTATTGAAGTATTAATTCTCCATAGCGGTGTTTGAGTAAACACCTTGGAGATCTTACCTCCTCCCCTCCTGGAGAAGAGGGAAGGATTTATCCTACATAGAATCGTGTTGGGCACAGCTATGACACGCTGTTGTCTTTGTTTGCTAATAGTTGCATGTGGTTTTAAAAGATACACACAGGTGCCAAGTTAAGGAAGAGGCAGACTTGGGATGGGTAATTTTATGAGTCAGCTTGTCTGAGCCCCAGGTTGCCAGGCATTTGGTCGGATGTTATTCTGGTTGTATCTGGGAGGGTGTTTCTGGGGAAGATGAACATTGCATCTGTAGACTGAGTCAGGCAGATGGTCTCCGGGATGTGGGAAGGTCCATCCCATCTGTCACAGACATGAATAGAACAGAAAAGCTGACCCCCCCCCCCCGTCCGCCCCAAGAAGGAGGACTGCCTCCCACCTGCCTGGACTGGACGCTGGTTTTTGGTTTTGTTTCTTGATTGGTTGGTTGGTTGGTTGGTTCCCCACCGCCACCCCATTTTTGTACTAAAACCATGAGCTGTGCCTAGGGCTTGGGCATACGAGCATTTAGGCCAGATTGGCATCACCGGCTCTCCTGGTTTCCAGCTTGCCAACTGTAGATCTCAGGGCTTGTTGGTCTCCAAAACCATATGAACCAATTGCTTCTAAATCTCTCTTTCTCAGTGGGATATACATTTACTTTCTCTCTCACACACATCTTATTGGTTCTGTTTTTCTGGAGAACCATGAGTAATACAACATTTTAAAAATAGCCCCCTGGAGGCTACACCATTCCAACGCACTGTCATATAAGGAGAAAGACATTGGTGGCTTCGGGAAGTGCCCACCTGCCCCTCCCACTGTGTGGCCACCACACTGTCCCTCCACCAAGTGCTGGTGCACCGCCCTCCATCCCCCTGCCCCAGACCATGTTCTGCTCACTTTCCTGATACTCACATCAGGGTCTAGCTCATCCAGCTCACTTTCCAACGTCCTGAGCTCCTCCTCTGTGAGGGCTCCCAGGATTTCATCCTCATCCAGGTCTCGATATTTCTCCAGCTCTCGTCTGTAGGACATTGTGGAAGGCTGTGTTTTTGTCTCCTGAACTTCTGTGCTGACTGGTGACCTGTCAGAAAGAGGAAAACCCTTTAAGATAGGCCCTTTGTCAGATTTTGTCTCGAAATAGTGGCTAATAGTGTGTTTAATAGTGGCTAATTTGAATTCTCTATCCACTTGCCAACAAGTGGCATGTGATATCTTTCTCTGATATGTATGGCTACATCTGTGTGTGTGTGTGTGCACATGTGAAGGTCAGAGGATGACCTTGGGTGTCCATCCTTGTCTCCTGTTACCTTGGGACCACCAGGCTACGTGGCCTTCAAGCTTCCAGGGATTCTCCTGCCTCTGCCTCATCTTTCATCACAGGAACTCTGAGATTACTGGCATGCCCTCACTCAAGGGATCTGAGGACTTGAACTCAGGTCCTCATGGTTGTCCGAGGGTGTTTCACCCACTGAGCCATTTTCCCAGTGCAATTTCATTAAGTGTTAGTTGGTTACAATGGGCATTGCCAGTAACTGTAAATAAATGGGTGTCTATAAACAGTTCCGAGTACTTGATAACAGTTTTATTCTTAGGTAGTTCAAATATTTTCTGGACAATCTTCTCAATGTCCCAGTGGGAATCATGAGTGCAGGCAACTGTCACGTTTGTCATTTAAAGGGGGAGGGTTAAGTGAACACCTGCTGCATGCAAGTACCCAACCTACCACATCTCAGTCAATCCTGACAGAAAGCACCCTACAGTGATGTTGATACAGTTTGTTGACACCAAGCACAGAGCCATGCACTAAGCACTCCACACAGACTCTCCAGTTTAATTTGTGTTTAAGTGTTAAGTGTTATCCTCCTGTCTCAGGTGAGGACTTTGGGCTGAGAAAGGTTAACCCATACCACCAGGAGCTAGTAGGTCCCCAGTTTGAACTCAGGTCTTGCAGGGATCTAGTGTCTGTGGTAGAAACTTTTTCACAGGATCACAGAGTATCATGGTCGAGAGAACCATGGGCTGGACCCCTCATTGTATCCTCCCAGAAGCGGCTTCAAAAGAAGTGACTGATTCGAGGGGACAATCTGTGCCTGCCACTTCCAGCCTGCTTTCTCCTGTTGGATGCTACCCAACACCCCTCACATGACCTTTCATATATGTGGGATCATTCTGGCTGGGGTTTTAAGTGAACATTTGATCAATGAAGAAACTGAAAGATGGCCTTGAGCTCTCAGGATCTCTGATAGCTGTGGTGTTCCTCCACTGCAGGGGAACAGCGAGGCCATGAACCCTCCTGTCCTTTAGCCTGACTAAAATAATAACATGACAAGCACAGCCTATCTGTTGCCTCTCTGAGAAGTTCTGGCAACTTCTCATGAACCTGATCTCATGGAGGACCCAGTACTGGGTCCGTGTCTCTTTGAGAACCTTCTCCCCATTGAGTACCTTGTTCTGCACTCCCAGGGCCCAGATTACAGCAGGAAGCTTCTCACTAAAAGCAGCCCAGATGGTTTTCTACTTGTCTCTGCTATCCCTGAGGAGGCTCTGAACTCTTCTCTAGGGGAATGCCTCCTTGCCCCAGGCCTTCCCACTACCTGAGCCTCTCCACCCTCCATCCTTTCAGAAGCTGAAGGATGCCTTAAATGTGGCAGAGTGGGATCTAGTCCTTTGCATACAGTCCATGTTATGAATCGACTTACTGCCTTAAGCTTCCTAGGCTGATGTTCTAACCCCCAGCACCTCAGTCACCCAGGAGCATACTGCAGGTTAAAATGAGCTCTCACTTGTATGTGGTCCTTACAGGGATGCTGAGATAGAACTTAAGTTTAGGGATTCAGATGAACTGCTACCAAATGTGACTGCTGTTCCTATAGAATGGAGACATTCTGGAACAGCATAGTGCAATGCACAGATGCATCAGAGAGTAGGCTGAGGCTTTTGCAGGGCAAAGCTTGCCAGAAAACCTCCGAAGTCAGGGGAGACATCCTGGGCCCATTTTTCCATTTAGCTCTCAGAAGAACCAAAGCATGGGGGCATGGTCATGCACATCTTTAATCCAAGCATTTAGGATTCAGAGGCAGGGGTAGCTCTGTGAGTTCAAGGCCAGCCTGGTCTACAGAAGAACTTAAGCAGTGGACACATTGATCTTAGCTTCCAACTTCCAACTTCCGGACATGCATTCATTTAAGCTGTTCACCTTCCTGGTTTGGGGTACACTTTTCCAGCACCCCAGCACATTTTCATGATTGCTACCCCTCTTCACAGAAGTTCTCTCTAGGCTCCCATGCAAAGCAAGCAAGCAAGGAAAGAGAAAGAAAGAAAGAAAGAAAGAAAGAAAGAAAGAAAGAAAGAAAGA